TCACTGAATTAAGTTTCAAATGAAAAGTAAGAGAAAATAAGAATCACAAATCTGGGAGAACTCCAGGCTGGGATTTCAAAGCTGGTACCCACTAATATGGGCTTCCCTGGTAGCTCAGCTGGTAAAGAATCGGCCTGCAATGCAGGAGACTCCGGTTCAATTCCTGGTTGGGAAGATCCCCTGGAGAAGGGAATGGCCACCCACTCCAGCACGCTGGCCTGAAGAATTCCATGGACAGAGGAGCCTGGCAGGCTACACACAGTCCGTGGGGTCAGAAAGAGTCAGATATGACTGAGTGACTTTCACTTTCTCCTACTAGTATAACCAATGGTCCTAGCTGGTGCCTTCAAATTTAGTCCATACTCCTACTCCTCTATACCTTACCTCTTCTGCTCCAGACTATGAGCTCTTTTGAAGTGAGGAGGCATGAGAGTCTCTTACTCACCTTTGTTATCTTGCATTCTTTATCTGTTGGTATTTAGCCGGATGCTTTGCACGTGATAAGCATCCAGTAATGTCTTTTATATTTTGCTAAAAACCAAAGATTATGCTGAACCTGGGGGGATCAGAATAGGCCTCAGATAAGAAAAATAGAAATCCAGATCAGGGACACAGCAGGAGCAAATTTGTTTCTTGTTGCTGTTCTGACAAATCACCACAAACTTAGTGGCTTAAAACAATAGAGATTCATTATCTTACAGTTCTAGAGATTAGATGTCTGAAAACAGGTCCTACAGGGCTAAAATTGAAGTGTTAAGACTGTGTTCCTTCTACAAGCTCTAGGGGAAAATCTCTTTCCTGACCTTTTCCAGTTTCTAGAGATTGCTGCATTCTTTGGCTGATGACCCTGCATCCTCTTGACCTCTGCTTCAGTTGTCACATTTCCTTCTCTCATCCTGACTCTCCTGCCTCCCCCTTTGAGGACCCCTGTGGCTACATTGAGCCCACCCAGATAATCCAGGATAATCTTCCCCTCTCAAGCTCCTTAACTTAATCTCATCTGCAAAGTCCCTTTTGCTACATAAAATAACATATTCACAGGTTCTGGGGATTAGGATGTGGGTACTTTGGGGAGCCATTATTCTGTCTACCACAAGGAATAAAGCTGAAGACATAAAAATGCACAACTAATGTTAGGAGATGGAGTTTTCCTGCTGAAGCAAAGGACTCACGAATATTACAGCCAAGTAAGATAGGAAAACAATCTAGATTGAAGAGGCCTTGGGGTTTGGAGATGATAGAGATCACTGAATACTAGAGTAAGCTTTGGCTTTATCCCCTATAAAGTAAGAAAACTTTGAAGGTGGGTGAGCAGAGAGAGTCAATGATGAAAGAAGTAATCTAGCAGACTCCAGAAGACCCTAGAGTATGTAAATTTGGTAGTCAAGTAAAGCAAAAACAAAAGGTTTGAGATCAGGACTTCCCTGGTGGTTCAGTACAAAGGAATCCACCTGCCAATACAGGGGACACAGGTGGTTCAATCCCTGGTCCAGGAAGATTCCACATGCCTTGGGGCAACTAAGCCCAAGTGCCACAACTACTGAGCCTGAGATCTAGAGCCTGGAGCCTCAACTATAAATCATTTTTTTAAAAAAAGATTGGGACCAAGAAACCGCACAAGAGTGAATACCCTACTGTGTACTGTCTTGTCAAGTCTCTCCTTTCTGGTAGATGTTCCATGATAAATGACTGCTGAATTATTTCCTCTCTTGAATTCTAGTTTCTTTTTGTCTAGTGGAAGTTTTCAGTTGTGTTAAAACTCGCCTGTCCTAGAAGAGTCTGCTATGGCAATTGGGAAAGTGTGTTTGGAGTATGGGGGGAGGAGGAGAGGGGATAAGATGTGAGTTAATTGATTTGTCCAACTGACTGGAGGAGGTTGAGGTTTTCCAGAGCTTCAGAGGTTTGCAAAGACAGGGATTTCACTGTTTGGTTGTAAACAACAGAAACTTAACTCAGACTGACCTACAACAAAGCAGAATTTACTAGCTTTAAATAGCATCAATATGCCGATGGTTTTTAAATTGATATTGCCAGCCTGGATCTCCAGTCTCACACATACCAAAATGCTAGCGGCTACCTCAGCTTGGATGTCCAACCAGCAAATCAAGCTCAACATGGCTTAAAACATTGTTCCTGATCTTCCCTTTCTAGATGTCCCTCACCAAATCTATTCCTCCCACAATCTTTCTTCATTTCAGTCAATGAAAACTCCATCTTCCCAGTTGCTCAGGTCAAATGCTTTGGAATTAATTTTCAATCAACCTCAACATCCAAACCGTCAAACAATTCTATTGGCTCTTTTTTCAAATCCATTAAAAATCTGATCATTTCTCTCTACTTGTGCAACTACCACACTGCTCCAAACCACCATCATCTCTTACCTGTGTTATTGTAACAGCCTTCTCACTGGTCTTTCTGTCCATGCCTCTATTCGTTTCATTTTCCATGCAGGAGCCAGAAGATCCTTTAAACCATAAGTTAGATCATGTTACTCTTCTGCTCCAATTCTTCCAATGACTACTATCTTACTTAGAGAAAAACCAAAGTCCTTGCAACAGCCTACACTATTCTGCACCATATGGCTTCTGGTTACCTTTTTGATTTCATCTTTTTTAAAAACTAATTTAATTAATTAATTTATTTTTGGCTGTGCTGGATCTTCATTCCTTCATGGGCTTTCCTCTAGTTGTGGTAAGCAGAGGCGACTCTTGTTGCGGAGCACAGGCTCTACAGTGTTCGAGCTTCAGTAGTTGCAGTTCTCTGGATCTAGAGCACCAGCTTTAGTAGTTTGGTGCACAGGTTTGGTTGCTCAATGGAATGTGGGATTTTCCTGGACCAGGGATTGAACCTGAGTCTCCTGAATTTGCAGGTGGATTCTTTACCACTGAGTCACCAGAGAAGCCCTGATCGCATCTTTTAGTACTCTTCCCCTTGCTCACCGCATTCCAGTCACATTGACCTCCTTCCTGTTCCTCTAACACATCAAGCATAGTATGTACTTGACATTTCCTCTGGATCATTCTTCCACCAGGTAGTCCCATGCCTCAATTCTTCACTTCCCTCAGCTTTTTATCAAAGACCTCACCTTAATAGTGAGGTCTGCTCTGATCATCCTATTTAAAATTATAACCCCCTTCACCTCTATTCCATTTCCTTTTTTTTTTTTTTTTTTTAATTTTGGCTGTGCCAAGAGACATGAAATCTTAGTTGTTCCCTGACCAGGGATCAAACCCTCGCCCCCTGCACTGGCAGAGTGGAGTCTTAACCACTGGACCACCAGAGTAGTCCCTCGATTTTATTTTTGTTAACACTGATCACTAACACCTGTACATTTTATTTAGTCTATTGTCCACCTTTTTTCCTACCCAGAAGAGCAAGGAGAGCAAGATGTATGCTTCTTTTTGGGGGGGGTGGTCATACCACATAGCTGGCAGGATCTCATTCTCTGACCAGGGATGGAACCCTGGTCCCTGGCAGTGGACCATCAGGGAATTCCCTGTATGCCTTTTTCGGTTTACAGATATGTCTTCAATGCCCCAAACAGTATCTGACATATAATGAACTTTTCAGTAAATACTTGTTGAATAAATGAATGAAAAGTCAAGGTGATAACTTCAGGCATGGCTGGAGTCAGGTTCTCAGCATGTTATTAGAACTCCTTCTTAGTTTTGCTTTCCTCTGCACTGACTTCATTCTCAAACAGTCTTGAGATCTTATGGTGATGGCATGATAGCCACCAGCAGCTCCAGATTTACATTCTCACAATCCAGCAGCCTTCCCACTCTGGGAAGAGAGTGCCTCTTTCCTGATGATTCCAGTGAAAGCCTTAGAAATGAGTTTTATATTCTGGGTCAAGTGTCAATCCCTAAAACAGTCCTAAAGGTAGAGCAAGAAGATGCAATGACTGGCCAAGCCTGGGTCATGGGGACCTCCTGGGACAGGCATGAAATTCTGCTCTACATAGACTCAGAACAGGAGAACGTAAAGTTCCCTAAAAGGAAATGGGGTGCTATCACATGAAGAGGGATATAGGCTCAGCTGGCAGAAACAACAGACGTCCATCACATAAATGATGACCCACCCAGCAGACCTCGTCCAGAACAGCATTATTGTCCTGCCTCTCCATTTTTACATCCAATCAGATCAACCTCTGAACGTTGGTAAGGTCCTCTCCTCTTAACTGCCTTTACACCTGTCTCTGTCAGTTAAGGTATTTCCCTATCCGTAAATGCCTGGTTCAAATATGATCTCCCTCATCTTGACTCTTTAACAGATGTGGTCTCTTTCCCACTTCTGAGCATCCTACTTGTTTCTACTTCTCTTGTAGTTATCTTTTCACACTGTGCCCTATATCTTACTTATTTGCGTACAATTTGAGCTGTTGTGGAAAAGGGCTGCTTCCCGCGACCAAGCCGACACCTCACGCCCTCAGCAACTGCGGTGATTAGATACGCACCAGGGCCGCCAGGGCGCGCCAAGTGCCAGGCGCGAGGCCTCCGGGAGGGAGGCGGGGAAGCGGGAGGAGGCGCTGTGATTGGCAGCTGCTTCAGTCAATCGGGCGCAGGTGGGGGCGGGGCGGGGCGGGCCGCCAGGGAGGCCCGTGGGCGAGAGGCGGGGCCTGCATGAATGGGGCGCGCGGCGCGCGGCTGCAGTCGGCGCTCGGGGGGGAAGCTAGAGTCCCGGCCCGGAGTGGGTGGGAGGAAGCGAAGTGCTGGGGGGAGGGAAAGAGCGCGGGGGGCGGGGAGGGGCAGCGCCGGGGCGGCGCGCTGAGAGCGGTGAGGCGGCGGGTGTGAGCGAGAGCCGTGGCCACGGTTCCTGTCGCTGCGGTGCCGCTGTCCGCTGCGCCGCCTCCTGTCGGACCCCGAGGAGCCCCCGACCCGGCGGAGGAGTAGGGACTGGGGTAGCAGGCATTGAGGGAGGAGCTGGGTCCGAGCTGCCGAACCCAGGACCCCCGGGCGTGGAGGTGGGGGGGCTGAGGCCCCCGAGGGGGCCCCGCCGCGATGGGCAACCTGGAGAGCGCCGAGGGGGGCCCGGGCGAGCCCCCCTCTGTCTCGCTTCTGCCGCCTCCCGGCAAGATGCCGATGCCGGAGCCCTGTGAGCTGGAAGAGAGGTTCGCCTTGGTGCTGGTGAGAGCCGATCCTGTCCCTTCCCCCTACTACCTCCCCCACTCCCCGCCCCGATCTCAGCGCCCCGGGTGGGACTTTGCCCGGGTTCCTCGGTCCGGCCCACCCCTTCAGTCAGGGCCCCCGACGGCCTCCGACCCCCAGCGCCTTCCCAGGCGCTGAGCAGCCCCGTCGGGGACCTCCCTACCGAAGCGTCTACCTCTGGACACATAGGAGGAGGGGTCCCTAACCCGGGACCGCCCCAGTATCAAGAGTTCTTCCTCTTCCCTCCCCCTTCTGCCGCCCTTCGCGCTTCTCCCCACTTCCCTGACAGTCTCCCCAGATCCCTGGGATTCTCATTTCTAAATCTTTGGCGGGAGAGGGGGAATTCAGAAGGTCCGGGCCGGCCCATTCCTCAGCCTCAGTCCGGGTTCTCTGACTGGGGAGACCGCCTCTTGTGTTAACATGGAGGCTTTCCAGGGAGTGGGTCCTACTCCCAGCCCAGACCAGATGTTTAGGGGAGAGGAGGGGGAATGGAGGGGGGCTGGCAGCTCGTGAAGGGGGTGGAATAAAGAGTGATGCCATTCTACTTATTTTCAGAACGGCCTGCAGGCATCCTGCAAAGTTACAGTGGGTTTGCCTAAAAGGGCTGAACATGTGGATAAACCATTTCACTAGTGTATTTTTCCAATTGAAACAATACACAAACCATCCTGCCTCCCCCACCACCCCCCTTTTTATGTTAAGCCCTAGTGGCTGGTTTTTGTTTTGTGCCTGTGCTTCTTTTTAGTCTTTCTGTTCCGTTCCTAAGTGGTCTGTATGAGTGAGGTTTTAGGGCTGACTTTGGGACCCTCCTTTGATGTGGGGATTGGACATTGATGTCAGTGGCTGTCTGGACCCGGAGGATCTGATTGATATCACTAAGATGGAGACAGAGAATATGTTGGAGCTATAAATGAAATTTTGGAGAAAGTGAATTAGGTGATGGAACATTTGCTAACAGAGGTAAATCTTAGAGAAACTTGGGGAAATAGTTCCCAGTTGCTCCAAGAACTCTCTTAGAGGCAGTGCCAATGCTGCCTTTATTGTTACTATGGCCAGAAGGGCTGACTTTGCCTTTGCTTGTGAGGAGGAATAAGTTGTGGACTTAGCAGCCTTATTGGATTTCATCTGCTTTGGAATAGGAAGATTAGATCTGTTGGCATCAGTGAAGCTGTCTAGAGATCCTGGCCTCTCCAATGGTGCAGAGCCTGACATCAGCCCATTGGCACCGTAGAGGGATCAGAGAGGGTCCACGGGGTTCCAAAGGGAAGCTGGCACCTCTCTTGCCCATCAGCTTTGGAAGGGCCTGAGGGATCTGAGCCACACATCCTGTGGCCCTCTGCATTTCCCCTGGCCTCCTCAGGGGGATGGGGTGAGTCAGTGATTACTAATGTGCTGTGGCCATCTCAGAGGCTGAGGAGGAGAGCCTGGGACTTGGTGCCCTTGAGAACAAGAGCTCAACTGTTGGGGAAAAGAGTAGGAGGGAATCTGCACTCCAGTAAGGGTGTGAAAACCCCCATCGAGTGGCATGAGGTAGCTACAGAACTGGAGAGAAAGGACTGTTCAAAGGTGGACTGGATAGGGGGCTGCCTTAGGAAGGGGCTACCAGGCTGATTGTTGTGAGAGCTCAAAACCAGAGTTGGTCGTGTCCTCTTTGGAGTTAGGTGAACACGTTTGTTTAGTTGGCAGGTTAATGGCTTAATATTCACAAAATGTACAAGGTATCCTGATTACTAGCCAGCAAGCCCAGGTCAAGCCAGAGATCTGACCACTCATTTGCAAGCCTTCCTTTCTGTATAAAGTTTTTGATTTGTTTCCCTGTTGCTTTTGTTTTGATCTTTCTGCTGCTGATGGGGAGTTGGGACAGGGCAGGCCCGGGGCTAGTTGTCTTAGGAAAGGAGGGGATTTTACCTCATTTTTCCAACACAGGGAAATAATGCTTTCTTGGAGATTTCAGTTCTTCTCTGGGACTCTTAAAGATCCCTCTTTCCTCTGTTCCTAAAACATGCCCTTTCCACTATCCTTTGGGAACTCCATTGGCTATTGGCTGTTTGACCCTGGAACAGGCTCAGGTGTATTTCCTAACAGCCAGGATAAGCTTAGTAGAGTAGAAAAGGCAGGGGCTCTGACTTAGCAATCGTCTTAACCTCTTTCAGCCTAGATTTTTTCATCTGTACAATGGGGCAAATGATTCCTATCCTGGTGGGATTTTGAGAATTACGTGAGGTATGTATATAAAGTGCTTAGCACCAGGTACTCAGTATAGATTTGTTTCTTTTTTTGATTGTGTGACAGGTTGTCGCTTCTTCACCATTTTCTTTCCCAGATTGTCAGCCTCACTGTGGTTTATAAAAAAGTTATGTGTTGGTTTTGCTGAGGTGATGCGCTGGTGTACTGGTTAAGCATATGCATTTTCAAGTCAAAATGGGCTCATATATGGCTCCTCATAGTCTCCAGTTAGCAAAGTATTTGACCTCCAGCAGGTTACTTAATCTCTGTAAGTCCCAGGTTCCTCTTATAAATGAAGATAATAATAGTATTTCCCACATGAGGTTATTGTGTGAATTTAACAAAATTAGAAGTTAAGTCCTTAGTTAGCATACTCTGGCATCTACTATATGCTCAGTAAATAGTAGTTTTTAAATGTGTAACTCTCAGCTGTGACTCAGATCTGAGAGCACTCGTATTCCCAGAAAAGTATTTTCAGTTCAGAAATCTGATGAAACCAGTTACCCCATTATGTATAGCCAGTCCCAGGATATGCTGCTGATGTCACATGGAGGGCTTCCCCAGTCCCAATATATCTGTGGAAACCACCCCCCGAAAAACACCCTGGCTGGGGAAGTTGTATCACTGCTGAGTCAAGACCACAGGCTCCCCGCTTTTTGGTGCAGACACATGATCTGACCCACAGTCTGTCAGCTGAGGTTGGAGAACTGAGGTCTGAATCCATGAGGTGGTTTGTGCAGGACATTGTTCCCAAGAGTGCCGCCCCAGTCCAGTGCCCTCACCTGGGGCTTTTCCTCCTGGTGTTCTGGAGTTCTCCTGGAGAAGGAGAGCCCCCTTCTCCGCTCTGGGGGCAGCTGACATCCCGGATGGATCCCCTCTGGCTGGGTCAGCTTCCACCATTTATTCTGTGTACAGTACAAACAGTATTATTTTCTAGATGTGCCCTCATATTAAAAAGGTTGTGGAGAAAAAAAAAAAAAAGGTTTTGAAGCTGCTATGTTACACTGTTTCCTTGGGATCCTCCCTTACCGGGTGTCTTGACAGCAGCCGCTATTCTGTTGAGGACTGCGAGTTCAGGATGGGCAGTTATTGGAGCTCCTCTTTATTAACACCAGGGTGAGAGCCGATCTCTGGTCTGGTAAAGCCCCCTCCTGTGTTTTGGTTCTGGCTGGATTACTACCCAGTCTTAGTTGCTCAGAAGCTAGTATGCTGGCCAGTCCTGGTGTAGAGAGGGGAGACAGTGGGCTTTAATGGTCTTAACAGGATAGCTTTTCTTGTTTGCTCCCTGATTTTTCTATTTGCTGGCTTATTACAGATTTGAGATGAAGTCTGAAGGTTCTGATGCCAGAAAAAGCCCTGGATATCCCACAAGAGGAGGCTCTCAGGGCATGAGGGTGGGGCTGTGTGACAGCCTGTCCCTGCCATGGCCCCTCCTTTCACATTTCCCTGGTGATGACTGCTGACTTGGGGTTTTTGCTATAAGTGTAGCATTGATGTGGGAGCTAAACTGGCCTGGGTGCTAGTTGTCAAGAGACTTTGAGAGACCTCCTTTGACATAGAAAGGGGCTGGGAAAAACTTGGACTAAATATCAAGTTCCAAATCGCCATGGTGGAAATGTTTTTCCCAGCCTTGGGGATTGTGGTGAATTAGTTCAGGCTGGGATAGGACTTGGGGGAGGGAAAAGGCTCTTGACAGCAGCTCTGGCCAGAGGAACCCCCTTGTTAAGAGACCCCACTGAGAAGACCCTAGGCCACAGAGAGAAACCTAATTCTTAGACTTTTCCATATGGCCCTGCATTAGACTGGGGAGGTGTAGGGCTGGGTGGGAGAGGGATGGAACTGATGCAGTGGACTCCTTGTGATTTGGGGATGTTTTCATTGCTCATAGGGAGATTCAACCTCTTTTTCTTTTTTCTCTTAAAGTAATACTCATTCTCTAAAAAAAAAGTTTGGGCAATTTATAATTTAGATTGAAGAAAAAAGTCCATATTTTCTCCATTCCTTTAGCAAATGGAGACATGTGTTCTAAAACTTTTCATATTTGTTTCTCTGTGTAGAGTTTTGTATCAATACAATGTTGTGATAGTAGTGTGTGTGTATGTGTGTATGTATACATACACATATTTATCCAATATGGCTTTTTTTTTTTTTTTGCTTTTGTTATTTCAGTAGTTTTCCCAGGCTAGTCACTGCAAACATTTTTAAATGCTTGCACAATAGTCCATCAAGTGAATGTACTATTGTTAACTCTCCTCCTATTGTTGGACATTTAGTTGTTTGCTTCTGTTTGCTGGCATAAACAGTGTTGTGATGAATATCTTGGTGTACATTTTCAATAGTTAGAGTTTTCCTTGGGATAGAAACCCAAAATTGAACTTGCCAGATTGTAGGATATAATGTTTTTCAGGTCCTAAATATGTATTTCCAAATGATTTTTTTAAAAAGATTAGTGCATGTGAGTGTCTTTAAAGGGAGGGAGGAGGGTTGAGAATAGCTTCTTTTCTCCAGATTATGAAAATAAAACACTTTTAAAGCACATTTAGAAGTAAAAAGTTTGTAAAGTATAAAATACATAAAAAAGTATAAAGAAGAGAATTAAAATCACCTATAATCTCTCCATTTACTTTTAACATTTTGATGTACTTAAATTTTAACAATTAGTCATACTGTGCATATTGTTTTGTAAGTTGACTTTTAATTTGACTATTTTAAGCATTTTTTCATTTGTTTATTCTTCAGTATTGTGATTTCAT